TTCCCTATTCATCTGCTCTTTTTTTTGCCTTCCCACCCCTTCCATTTGCTATCGCTGCTCAGCTACTGTCCACCCACTTCCATTTTTCTTCCTCTTTGCTCTCCTACCGTAGATAGTTATTGTTTTCAATCTTTTGTTAGCTCCCATTTCTGCTTAAAAGGATAGATGTTCTCCGGAAGAGTTTGTTACTCATCACTCCGTTGGCTGTTAATAAGGGACAGGAACAAGGAAAAGTTTGTTTATAGTAGCATGTAGTTCGCCTTGTATGTAGAGTACATTAATTTATTCTAAGCTCCTTGATTGTACAGCATGCAGCTTAGTAGAGTATCTCAGGCACTCCTGAGGAGTGTTAATAAATACTGCTTTTGGTGATAGGTTTTACTTGGGTCCATAGGAAAATAATTTACGTAACAGTTTCATCCTAGGTTTATTTGTAAGATTTGATTAAAACAAAAGGAAAAATAGTAGTTTTCTCAGGTAGCAGTGATGGAGGCTTAACAAAACTGTTTTGATTCATGGTGAAAATTGCTGTAAGTCAGTCTTGTATCATGCTTAGACATTTACAGACATGTTTTGGAGGAACTTTTCTTTCTCTTTTTTTTCTGGGCTGTTTTTTTGGGGGGGGTGTGTGGTGGTGTTGGTTGGGTGGTTTTTTTGTTTGTGTTGGGTTTTTTTGGTTGTTTTTTTTTTTTTTTAACACAGCAACAACAGAACACACACAGCTTCACTCAACTCAAAAGCTAGGTAAAATGAGAACAGTTCAATTCCACTGCTTAATTAATACCTCTGTGATAAATGTGGTAGTGTTCTTACAGGTCTGGGGATCTTGAAAGCACTCAAGGGAGCATCTTGAAAGCACTCAAGGGAGCAAGCTACTTTTTTTGAAGGGTTATATGTTAATGTCATGAGTATGTAAGTGAGTGATAACGTTGATCGTACCTTGAATTTTCTCCAATTATGCCTATGTTAAGGCTTGAGTCTTTGCTCTTCCAGGACAGGCATACAGGGTGAGCCCACGGGTACTTAAAGGCTTAGTTATTGTGCAGCCCTTTCCATGCCTGGAAGATGACTTCTTTTCTGGTGTCCTGCTGCACAGAGCAGAAGCTAATATAGCTGTTCTAATTCGTTAGATGCTGATATGGCTGTTAGACTCTGCTTTCCAACCTAGCATGTAATATAGTCCTCTCCTTAAAATTTTTAGTTTTGCTTATAAACAACTAATCTAGAATTTTCTTATGCTTTCTTTTTTTCTGCACGTATACTGTCTAATCAGTGCTGATGTACCAGAGATAACAGAATCTCAGCTTCCCTCTGAGTTTGTGGTGCACAAAGAATGCAGTACAATAGCCTGACTATAGCATGTAATCTGTAAGGATTGTTTCTTAACATAAGGACTACGTATTTTATCTCCATAGCTAAATGATAGACTTTGATTTCTCAACCCAGTTAGTGTTTAAAAAATCTGTACTACGTTGCCACTATTGTACTAGAAATTCTGTTGTTAGCAATAAAATCGCCAGAGCTCAAGGAGAAGTTTTATTTTAAACTTGAAACTTTTTTCAAACAGACTTTGGCTAATCTGGTAAATTTGCCAGTCTCCCAAAATTAAAAAATTTCACTTAGGCCAGGGATGAAGTGTGTAAATTTGGAAAGAAGATGCCCAAATACCTAAACTTATAGTTCTTTCTCGTGTGAATCATCTCACCATTTGCAACCTGCTTTGGATTTTCTACTAATTGGAGAGGGAGATCCCCCCTCTTAGGCCTATTAGCCCTGTACTTCTGCCTGCCTTGTAGTGACGTACAGCTGGCTGTGCTGGCTTTTCATAGTTGAGGTCCCATCTGTATAGGTTCCCTGAAAACAAGAAAAATACAGAGCAATTGAGGCTGTTAAGGAAAGCAAACAAGGTGATATTATACTTTTAAATGAGGGTTTCATTTTATGGGCTGTTGATTCTGCATTATTCACTGGATGGTTACGTTCATTTGAATTTTTTTTTTTTAAATTCTTGTTTTTTTCCATTAATGTGGTGGGATTGTCCTAGGGGGGTTCTAGGAGGGAGCAAGTTGGACTATGAAACTGGATTCCCTATAGAACATACTACCTGATAGTACTAGAAATTAAGCATATTATATTTATATACTATAATTAATTAATAGTAAAATTTGGTAAAGATAAATTGCACATAATTAGAAGTCCTTTTTTGACATGTATGTGTTTGAGCAATTTCTGACCACAGAATTAAAGTGGGTTTTCCGAATTGAATCAGTTCATGTATTACTCGCTCTACTTAGAATTTGTGGTGGTGGGTTGTTTTTTTTATCTTTTCAGTCAAAAACGCTTTTCCAGTTGTCTTGGATCAAAGGCAACTCCTATCATTATGATCAAATGATTTGGGACGTGTTAATTCTTATTATGTATTCCTTCATCACAACCAATACCTCTTTACTGTAGCAAACGTGGACTGTATGCTTTGCTAAGTTACTGTCTTGTGTAATTGTATTCCTTTTTTGGAGCCACATAGTGAGTGTGACTGATCAATATATTGATTACAGTAAGCATTAAATGAATTTTGAAGGCTAGCCGAGTAATCTGGACTGTGTTAATTCCAACAAAAAATCCTTGTGTCAAGCCAACTTCCCGGCCTGGGGATGGCAGGGGTGAGTGGACAACCTTTGTGGTGCCTGCAGATGCAGTGTGTGTTTTTCTATCACTCGATTCATTTTTAATGATGGTATTATTCAACCTCTTTTTATGCTCCTCTCCCTCCCCGCCCCATTTCAACTCTTTCTTCTTGTTGCCTGTAACTTTCTGACACAAACTTAATGTGTTTCTGTAAGGAGGACTGCAGTTCTGCAGTAGATATCCCACGAGTAGGACCCAAGCTTGTTTGAGATCTGCCTTGAGTTCTCAAGGGACTTGGACGACCTCACTGATCTCTTCCGTTAGCCATAGCGAGATAGTACTGGAATCTGTCTAAGCCAAGACAGATGACTTACACTGTGGTCTCTTGTGATACCCTGGTCTTGGCAGTAAGTTAAAATGCTCTCAGGTTAGAATGAATGAACCTGTCCCTAAATGTTCTGAACTCCTGTCTTCAGTGAAAGCAGTAGTGTTGTTGCAAGTCAGTATGTGGTGGAAATGAATGATTTATAGTTTGTTATTGGACTCCTGAGTCTATTTTTATGCTTCTGCACTATTTCCTTTTCACTGTATTCCTATGAAGTTTATTTTTAAAGACCTACCCAATTTTGGAGATGAAGAACGCTACTGAAAAATAGTCTTCAAAAAATAGGCTTCTAAACACTGTTAGCATGAGCTTCAACCTCAGCTGTTTGTTGAAGTGCGAAACTTGAAAAAACAGGTCAGGCTGAAACAAACCTTTTGAATGGAATAGTTTCTTCAAACTCGGTCACAAGTAGGTGGTAAGTCTTGAACTTTCTTCATCTTTTCTGAAGCCAGTTAAATGTCACATTGTCTTAAGCCCCGTAGCATCTAATGGAGTAAAACAAGGGTCAAACTCTTCAGTGCCGCGTAGATGCACGCTTCTCTCCTCACCAGAAAGATCCATGCTGGGGTGATATGTGACTGATGTGTACCTGACAAGTTTACAAGAAATGTTGACATGTGGACAACCTTCATACGTGCTTTCATGTGACGAAGATGTATTGTCTCTGATGGGCAGTACTTGCCTTTTAGTCATATGGTGGACACAGCTCAAGTTACGTGATAGGGGTGGAAAGAGAGCAGGGATCTGTTGGCAGCGTTTGGTGAACAAACATCTGGAGCAATTCATCT